AATTTACTAATAATTTAGTAACTTAGCAGTAACATTTATTTTTAGTATTACCAATTAATAAACTAGCACCTATTGCAATATCATATCAAGGTTATCCGACAAACTCATATGATCATGAAAAATTTTCTTTTTTTATTTTTTTCATGTGTTACGATGTAATTATGTTATTCCAATATTCAAATTGAAAACTCAGCGAGTGACTCCCTACCAATCATAATCATAAATTGTCGGATAATGTATTCTTATTGTATAATTTCCGAAAAATATATTCCCGAAAGAACTAATCATTTCCTTCGGAAAATACCTTTTTGAGAACTTCAGTCACATTATTGTATTAGTATTAAATCTATTAATTAGTGATTAGGTAATTTATAAATTATATCAATATCAATAAAACGAATTTGAAACATTTCAATGTTCATGTCAATTATTTTCTAAACAAAAGAAAAATCGCGGCCCAAGGTATAATTAAGGAAATTTGAAACAGAAGCTTGTAAACGTAGGTCTCGGCAAAATTTTATTCTCTTGAGAATAAAGTATCGAACAAAAAAACCATAAAAAACTTCTTGGTTGCATCAGAAGCACTTATTTACGCTAATGTTTTAGATCATTCCGATTTTTTTTTACTAGCATAAAGAATTCTGGAAGTTCTAGAAGTGCATAAATAAAAATAAAAATAAATTTTTTTTTTTTATCGCTAAGTGGCATGACCAAGTTTATACAATTAAAGATAGAATTTCATGCGTCAAATTACAACTTGAAGAAATTAGGGTTCCCATTTTTCAATGAAAATGATATATGTACGTCAAATAATAATTGACAGAATTGAGAATGATGGATAACATAAATACCATAGACCCCTTCTTAAATTCTTGCACACTCTTAATAGCATTTCTTGACAGTACTTTTTCTCACATCAAATATATTACTGTATAGTTCCGAAATTAAACATCCTTTTTTGTTATAAGAGGTGCTTATTTTCGGATATAATTTTAAGAATAAATAATATAGGATTTTAGTACTAAGTAAACTTACCTTCTTTTTCTAAGTAAAACTATTCCCCAGGTCAAGACGATTCTAATGGCAGTATAATCATCAAATTTGGTTTTTTAGAACTCTCACAATTGCTCTTTAAAATTCGGGCAACGTTTGTTTACATTTGCTTTACATGATCTGTATACTAGTAAACAAAAGTCGCCCGAGCAATTGTGTTTAGTTGAATGCTTTTCTTCCAACCAATATTATAGAAGGTTTAATAAACTGTAGTATAATAAATTTCAAGTATAAAAAGCAAAAAGAACAAAAATCTGTTTTTGATTGACCCTGGTTTTAGGCGTTAAAAAAGATTCAGTTCATTGAGTTTTCTTACTTGATCCCTAATTAAATAATATTTTAGGAATTTTATTGGTCCATCAATTTTCAAAGGGCCGACTAACTTCCCCACAAGGAAGAACATGAAACTTATAAAAGCGATAAAATAACAAAATTGACTATATATTGCGCAACTGGGTTATTGTGTTCGGCTCAGATCGGCGGATTTGCGGAATGGATCTAAATTAGGGTACCTGGATTTAACAATTGCAGAATGTATAATACAGTAATACGTAGCTGAAATTTTGTACAATCGCATTGTTAAAATATATGGACCTTAATTTAGGTCAATTCCGCAAATTCGCCGATATGTATGGCAGCAGGGCTTAAACTACTATAGTAATTTGCCGGCCTGCAGCCTATTGTTTGAAGTGTTTTTCTTGATCCATTAAAATTAGTGTATTGATCGACATCATTGCCGCAGCGATTTGTATGCCGCGGCAATGACATCGATCATCGACCCGAATTTCCCTGGTGTTGTCTATCTAATCAAGCAAACAATAGCAATAAATGACAAATAAAAAAACTTAAATTTTGCTACTGTTCTTTAATTATTAAAATTCACAGTTAAGACCATTGAGCGAAAGTATGTATAAAAATTGTCAAACAAATATCATTAAAATTATGAAAGTAACATCTCAACATGCTAATAGAAATTTTCAGCCAAGTTGGAAAACTGAATTTCCATGGCTTGAATATGACACCCATAATAATAGAATTTTTTGTGTTTTATGCCATAATTATAATAAAAAGAATGTATTCGTAATGAATGGTAAGTATAAATGATTTAAGTATATGTTTGCTGTAGAGATAAATTATTAAGAAATATTTTATGTAATTAGGAGTTACAAATATTAAACTTTATGCAATAAAAGAACATGCTAAAACTAAAGACCACACTGATTCATATAGAAAAAATGAAAAGTTAAATGTACTGCCTGAACATATAAATTTAATGAAAATCATTTATTGTCTTGCCAAAAATAATATTCCATTAAATAAATTTAAGCCATTAGCTTATCTTGGTTATGCTATCGAAGCTCCATATTTGGTTTCTGAGGATCATCTTATTACATATAAAAATAATTCCTGTACACGCAAATTATTATCTTCTATATCAGTAACAATTGAAGAAAGTATTTGGAAAGAACTAAGTCTTGCTACAGCAATAGGGATTATAGTTAATGAAAGTACAGATATTTCTACAAAATCTTATATTATTATTTATGTTAAATATCTTATTAATGGTATTATTAAGATACGATTTTTAAACTTGTTGAAAATTGAAAACAGTGATGCAAAATCTATCTATACTATTATAATTACTCCATTTATTACTCGAAGTATTTAAATTAAAATTATAATTATATATATATATTAATTTATTTAGTTTTATTTTAAATAGATATACAACATAAAATCTTTGCATTTACATTGGATAGTGCAAGTGTAATGTGAGAAAATCTCAATGGTGTTGCTACATAAATGATACAAATAAATCTATATATATTTACTACACATTGCATTGTTCATAGATTAGCGTTGGCCTGTGAAGCTGCTAAAAAACAGGTAGAATCCTGTGTATATGCTAAATCACTATTAAGAAAAGTTTATACTTTTTTTAATAATTCTGATAAATGGGTTCAAACTTTATCAAGATATCAAAAAGTTCTTAATATGCCAATTTTAAAGATTAAAAAAATTTTTGATATTTGTTAGCTTTCTTTTTATGAAGTCATAAATAATTTTTGTTTATCTATTGAACCTTTACTAGACACACTTCTTCATACTATGATAGAATTAAAAAATCAAAATACTCAACTTTCGATTTTTGATTTATATTCAGAGCTTTGTGATTGAAAAACATTAGCATTTTTTTTATTTCCTTCATGATATCTTTTTTGAACTTACAAATTTAAACAAAATATTTCAAACAAGATTTTTTTATATTTTTGATTTATATTCTATAATTGAACTACAATTACAAAGTTAAAACAAGAATATTTAGATATTAACATTGATGATATTCCTAAATTGGGTTCAAGTATTACCAAATTTTTTATTACTGTACTACCTAAAAAAATACAAAAATTGGATTGCATTATCTTACTTGGACACCAAATCAAGAAAATGATTTACTAGCTGATATAACAAGTTTTGTATCTATAATTATTTTAAAAATTCAAACCTGATTTCCAAATGATCTTTTTATTGAAGCTTTAAAAATCTTTAAATTATCTGATAGACTGTTAAATAATGAAAATCTGTTAGAATTTGGTAATAAGGAGTTGGATTTGTTGCTGGATGTTTATGGAAAGCCACAATTTTCTTTATTTCTGCATGCAATAGGTGCTAGTTTATTAATTGGTAATACTAAAAATAAATGTTACTGCTAAGTTACTAAATTATTAGTAAATT